ACCGTAAAACACACAATAACTTCGCTTACAGCGAACAAAGTAGGAAATCCCGCCATTAAACTGTTTTGTTTATAAAACAACATATGATTGGCTCAAATAATCAAATACGAAACGCGATTCGTAATTGGATAATTTAAAGTTTGTAACGTTATATTTATGGAAAAAGTTTTAATTATAATCGGTGTAATAATTAAAGGTTGTTTTAATTTATTATTTGAATTTTTATCATAAATATTTATTACTATAAATTATAAACTTTTGACTTATTAGTGAGATTTCATTTATAGTGCTTAATCGTTCATCGGAATATTCCCATAATTACACTTTTTATCAGAATATTCCCATAATTACACAATGAGAAATTGATTTTACATTTATTTAATAAATAATCATTCGTATATTGCGATCAAAATCAAATAAAAAATTTAAGTAACTGTTCTGCCATTGTAAGCTTAAATTATTTTAGCTAGTAACTTAGCTAATTACTCAGAATGGATGGCCGGATGCCACACCGGTCAAGGCAGCAGCCTACCGCTCTAGGGACCCGGGTTCGAATTTGGACGGGGCGACAAATCCCCAGCAATTTTTCTGGGAGTGGTCTGTCCAGATATGTCGGGCTCCGTCCCTCATCACCCGGCCAGCTCATTATGGATCCTGCCGAACCCATAATGAACATGCTAAAAGAGGCCCTCTTAGTGTCCACCAGTGGCGTACCGTAGTGGGGGCAGCAGGGGCGGCCCGCCCCGGGCGGCACTTTTTAGGGGGCGGCAAAATTTCACAATAAATAACAATACTGTAATATCTTGTAAAAATTTGAAACATCCTAATCTATACTTGCATCGCGCCTACGATAGTGCTATCGTCCGGACAGTCCGGGAATCGGCTCGCCGGGTGAACTAGTAACTTTTTCATCCGAGGAATTCCTGCGAAACCTGTTCACCTTTTTTTTTTTCTTGTACGATTCATTTGCGTTCATATACACCACTAATATCCAATAGAACTACAGGTAACCCCCGTATAACACGGTAGTTACGTTCCAAAAAATTGCCGTGTTATGCGAATCCGTGTTATACGAAACAAAGAACTAATACGAAAAGGAGGGTTAGGTTCCAAAAATTAGAAAACATGCTAGTATATTTTCATAATTAAGATAAATATCTTCATTAAAATTTTTTA